TTGGGCTTTTCCTCGCAGTCAGAATGGTTGGGAATATATGTAAATCCGTAAATATTTGAAATTCGTAGATTAGACATCATATTTAAACACAACCTCTAATTCCTACATTCCTATATCAGAATTTAGGAACAAGAAAAATAAGAGTACAAAATAATAAGGAAGAGACAAAAACAAACAGAAAGAAGAAGTGGAAGAGGAAAAGCTTCAGGAAAGAAGAAAGAAGAAAGAAATATGAGAGAAGAAGAAACAAGAGTGCAGAAACATTAAGAGCAGAAAAGAAGATCTGCACCCCGAAACAAAATGTGGTCCTGTTTTTCTTTTTGCGTGGTTTAGGCTTAAGCCTATATATGGGTGGTTATATTTCTACCTAATTTTTGGTTGGTTTATAGCTTATCCGAGCCAGACATAGATTAATTGGTGCCCACCATCATCCATTAGAGCAACTCCACCCTTAGAGCCATCCCCCTAGGCAATCCACTATTCAATCCACCATGTGAACAATAACTGCCATAATGAACAGTAACTGCCTTTTGCATCTCCACCCTTGCACTTGAATAGCCCTGACAATAGGCAATAAAATATTATTAATTTTTTTTTTACAAAATAATACTAAATAAATTTATTTGTAATTTCGGATAAGATATTTTAAATCGTTCTCGTTGGGCCACGTGTCATTTACCCAAAACGACTATTATTGGTCATAGATTTCGATAAGATTTTTATTCAATGTCATCGTGCCACGTGTCGTTATCTTTTCAGAATCTTTGAGGAAAGATTTCGATCATATTTTAAATCGTTCTCGTTGCGCCACATGTCATTATCCAAAAAGATAATTATTGGTGATGGATTTCGATAAGATTTTTATCCAATGCCGTCGTGCCACGTGTCGTTATATTTTCAGAATCTTTTATGATAGATTTCGATCAGATTTTTAACAAATGACGACATGCCACGTGATCTACAACCTAATCATTTCAGAATCCTCCATATAATCCATCATCCATCCTTTTAAATCTCACACCAATTTTCTCAATATCTCTATCATTATTCATAGTTTCTGATTCCTTCTTCACCAAATCAAAATCTGTATCATTATTCATAGTTTCTACGTATAATGTCTTCTTTTTCAAGCATGATGTGGGATATCGATCAAGAAGAGGAATAATTGTTTAACCAATCTGAATGAATGTTCAATCTCCATATAACCCAAAATGAGAAGAAAGAGGATGAGGATCGGAGAAGGAGAGATGACGAAGCAAGAATGGCCAGAGACTCACATTCCCATCGAGTCATCCAAGCTGTAGCTCAGATATGCAGGCCCACCCGTTCCAAAAACCTTGATAGAAGCAGACAACAACGAGGTGAGGAGCTGTTGGACGATTATTTTGTCCATAATAGTGCATTTCTTGATACGTACTTCAAACGTCGTTTTAGAATGGAACGACATTTGTTCAACAAAATCATGATTGCTGTTTGCAACCATGATTCTTACTTTGTGCAAAAGAAGGATGCTTGTGGTGTTATGGGTCTCTTTCCCAAGCAAAAAATTACTGTTGCGCTGCGAATGCTTGGGTATGGAGCATCTGCAGACCAAGTAGATGAGATAGCGATGATGGGGAAATCAACCATTCTTGAGTCCCTGATGAGGTTTTGCGGAGTAATCGAATCTATCTACACCGCATAGTACCTCCGGAAACCTACTCACATTGACTTGGAAAGGCTTCTGAAGAAGGCCGCGATGCGAGGTTTTCCTAGGATGATTGGGAGCATTGATTGTATGCATGGGATGTGGAAAAACTGTCCAAGTGCATGGCAAGGCGCTTATGGAGATAGAAAATGAGCAAAAAGTATCATTTTGGAGGAGGTGACATTTTTTGATACATGGATTTGGCACGCCTTTTTCGGGGTTCCGAGAGATCAAAATGACCTCAACGTCCTTGCCCAATCCCCAGTGTTCAATGATGTCCTACAAGGAAAGGCACCAAAAGTCACGTATGAGGTCAACAGACGTATGTAAGACGGGCCATACTACTTAGCTGACGGCATTTACCCAAGGTGGTCAACATTTGTCAAAACAATGCCACGTCCGCGAAGTGCAAAGGAAAAACACTTTGCAAGATGTCAAGAGGGGTGCAGGAAGGATGTGGAGCGTTGTTTTGGTATCCTCCAAGCTCGCTGGGCGATCGTCATGGGTGCTGCCAGATTGTTTGATATAGAGTCGCTTCGATCCATCATGATGACGTGCATCATTCTTCACAACATGATTGTGGAAGATGAGTACGATTATGAAGCCGTTGATGAATATGAGCCAAGCACGATGAACAATTCAAGAACACGTATATATTGTGCTCATGACGCCACTGATGAGCCCGTGCAACATGAGCCATTAGAAAGGGATGGACGTTACAATGAAAGGGTCATTCAACGATATACTACATTTCAAAGGCCAGACATGCACAATGCTTGGCAAAATGACTTGATAGAGCACCAGTGGGCATTGAAACAAGCTGAAGATAATTAAGTTCATTTAGTGTGTTTTTTATTATTTGGTGTGTTTATGTAATTTTATTTGGTGTGTTTTATTTTAGTTCATTTAGTGAGGTTTTTATTATTTGGTGTGTTTATGTAATTTTATTTGGTGTGTGTTTATGTAATTTTATTTGGTGTGTTTTATTTTAGTTCATTTAGTGAGGTTTTTATTATTTGGTTTGTTTATGTAATTTTATTTGGTGTGTTTATGTCATTTGAATAAAGATTCTCTTATAGTATAAATATATTACCATATTAAATAAATTTATTCTCACTTTAAATAAAGTACTAAATTCAATAAATTTGAAACAACATAAAATACTCAATTCAATAAATAATAAATTACAACCCAAGGTGATTGGAAAACTATGGGCTCTGATTACAAAAAGTACTCTAATCATCATCACTTAACCAATTTGTGGTGCTAGGATGATCTTCTCTTGTTGTGCTAGGACCATCTCCTCTTGCTCTCGCTTCTCTTGCACGCCTCCTACGCACCACATCCTCTTTCTCCGACTTCCAAAAATATTTAGAATTTGGAGACTTCCCTTCTAAAGGCGTGTTCATAATCTCACGATCTCGTTGAGCTATTCTTTCTTCTCTAACCAGTTCCCTTTCTTGCCTAAGTAGCTCTCTTTCTCTCTGATTAGCTTCAAATTCTCTCTCAACAGTTGCAGCTTTTGCCTCATCTCTAGCCTTATCAGCCTCAAATTTCGCCATTTCCCGCGCCAAAGTCAATTCACTATGGCGAGTAAGTTCTTCCATGTACTTTGCATAATCATGCTTGGAAGCACTTCCTTTTCTCTTTGAAGCCTTCTTACCTTGAGGCCTAATTGGATAACGGGTCAAACCCGACGCTTGTTCAGGGATGGGCGTTTCGGGCACTTCTTCTGCATCATCTTCATGCGAGCCATTATCAGGTGTAGAGTATAGCGAGGTGCTGTTCATAACAACTTCTGGACCGACAGTCATAACTCTGAATTTAGGACAATCTTTGACAATATTCCAACATTCCCACCGGTTGAATGATTTATTTTTGCTTTTGGTTTTGGCACCATACCAAGCTTGTGCTTGAATTAGCTACACAATGGGGGAGAAGAAATAATTATAATCAAAGTAGGTAACAAATAAATAATACAAACAAATAAATATAATTAAAGTAGGTAACAAATAAATAATACAAACAAATAATTATAATTAAAGTAGGAAACAAATAAATAATACAAACAAAAAATTATAATCAAAGTATCTAACAAATAAATAATACAAACAAAAAATTATAATCAAAGTATGTAACAAATAAATAATACAAACAAATAATTACAATGTAAATTTGGGTATAGTACAAACAAATAAATAATATATTGTTACCTAATCCGTGTAATTTTCCCCACTTCGAAGATTACTACTAGCTTGTGCCAAGGCGTCTCTCCAAATACTAAACGAATGGCTAAGTAATTTCCAACGACTAGACATCGATTCTTTGGTTCTACTCCCATCCATTTTTTCAAGATAATTGGTATGAATAAGACTTCACATTTCTCGCAATTGCACCTCATTACCCGTACGCGAACTATGAGTAACTTTAACCCAGCTAGTACACAATGCAACATCTTCAAGAAGCGTCCAATTCGTACCTACATCAGTAGTCATTTTGTTGAAAAAAATTGGATTGAAACTTTGAGAGAAAGATAGGAATGTGATTGAAAGTAGTTGAGAAAATATGAAATTGTGGTGTAAAGTAGATGATAATGAGAAGATATTTATAGAAAAGTATAAACATTTTTTTTTTAAAAAAAATTCAAATATTTTTTCAGATTTTTTACAATTTTTAAAATTTTTTTATTCAAATAATTAATCTCTGCCGTTGTATTTAAAAAAAATTGAATTCCAACACTCCAGATTGTGCCACGTGTCACAACGGTAACTTTTCTAAATTTTAAAACTATTTTTTTTTAATTTATAAAGCAGATTAACATCAACCGTTGATCTCAGATCGAACGGTTGATATTAAATCTTTTTTTATATTACCGTTAGAAATCGGAAGGCTCGTATTAAAGAGCTGTTGGGATCGAACGCACCGTGGGAAGCCACGTGGCTTCCCAACGGTAACATTGACTTTTGCAAAAGGCGCTGAAAATTTTGAAAAGTTGTCTGGTGACGTGCCCCCACGTGCGAGTGGGGTGCACGCGCCTGACAGAAAAAAATAAAAAAAGGAGCAGACACCAGGCTGACGCCAGTGCTGGCGTCACACCCACTCGAGCTCTCGGGCTGTGAAGAGTTGACAGGCCTGGAGCTCAGGCCTTCTCAACAGCTCGGGCTCTTCATGGCTGGAGCTAGTTCACAGGGCCTCGGGCCCTTTCCTCTCCCCTGTCCCCCGAGCAATGTCCATGGGTGGACTTGCTCTTAAGATGAAATTAAAGCTTCTTTAAAAAGAGAGAGAGAGAGAGAGAGAGAGAGAGAGAGAGAGAGAGAGAGAGAGAGATTTTTTTTACTCTATTTTTTGTTTACAATAAAAGGGAAATGAATGAGAATGATTCGTTTCCCCACACATTATCACCACTTGAGTAATCGTAAGAGCTTACATTTATGTATTTTTGTTGGACTCTCTCTGTGAAGTGGTAGACACTACAGAGAACAGAATGGCTATATATAAAGAAATATATATATATATATATATTCACTGAGGTAACAAGATGATCAGTTATCACCACTAAATGCATGTATACATATACTCCATCAGTTTTTCATTTCCTCCCTGCTAGCCTGGCCTTGTGGTCCTTAACTGGCTTGAATCCTTCCAAAACTTGGCTGGAAGTCCTTGCTGAGGTATTGGAAATGGGTCGTAATGAACCCCCCCACTCGACCTCACCACTTCCCATCTGCTGCAGATTAAACACTACCAATATCAAAATTTGAGTTTTTGACCTCTCTGATTTATAATATATATATATATATATTATATTTCTCGATACATTCTTACCTAAACTTGTTAACAAGATGGTGGATGAAAATAAGCATCTCCAGCTTGGCAACTTCATTTCCTGGACAGATATGAAGTCCGTTTCCAAATGGCATGAATGTGTTGGGTTTTACTCCGAGCTTTGATGCAACAAATTAAACATAACTAATTTAGTTGGAAGCTCCTTAAATTTTCTTTAATTTACGTTCAAACAATGTCCACATATACCTCAAATCTTGATGGATTGAATTTATGCGGATCAACAAAGAATTCAGGATTATGATGGATGTTCCGGAACAAAGGCAGTACCTTCCATCCCTTTGGGATCAAGTATCCTGTTGGACATGACAAAAAGCAGGCAACTAAGTAAGTTAACTTCACATTTTCATAGCTAGGGTTTCCTTCTTAATTTTCCTTCTTTTCCTGTAAGTGAACTTGTTGATTTAAGTTTCTCTTCGGAATTACAGCAGGGGAATTGACAATTAATGTGCCTGCTAGGGTTTGACAGGGACTGAGTTTTTGCCTTTTATTAGAGTGGGGTTCTTGTAAATATAGGTCACTAGTAAATGTACTACTATACAAAGGGAAAGCCTTGTTATATATGTACTTTTCCTCAATAATTGAGTTGGATCTTTCTCTTTCCAGGCGATGTCATTTGTGTTTGTGCTATCAATCTCCAACAGTAAAGTTAGCTAGCTACTACTTTTATTTTCCTTGTCATGGCTCTAAGAAGAACTTACCTGTAATGAGGATAACACTCCTCTATCTCTACACTTCTGATGTGACGAGAGATGTAAATACAAATTAAGGGCGTACGTGTTGCTTATAAGTTTCGTTAGGAAAGTAATGATATCATTAAGCCTACCTTTGTATTCAACATCTTCGACAGCTTCCCTAAAGGTGAAAGAGACGATGCTTGCCATCCTCAAGCTCTCCTTTATAGCCTACGAAACAAATCCCAGTTTAGTTTCTCGTTCACTTTGATGCATTTTAGAAGAAGAATTTATTTGAGAAAGTAGGAACTACGGTTGTATTTAATGTTTTATGTTCAATAATGTGAAAATCAGTGATAGACATCTCCCACAAACCACGATGCACGACATGTGATCAATTTATTATTGGTTTGTGGTGTTCATCAGCTAGCATATAATGACATATCTTTTGATGTGATCATAACATTGTTATGCGGTGTTATTAATTTTCTTAAGTTCTACGCAATTTTATTTTGTAAATGTTATAATCCAAAGTAAAAGTATTAAAATATATGTACGCATAGATCCAAGGGCCGAGTCAATATTTTCATTGGTGTACTAGATAAAATAATTACCATAAAGTAACGTAATTAGGTGGGCTATACATAAGTATAATACATAGACTATTAGCAGAACTTCAAACTAAATCTTCTTAGGTTACAGCCCACCTTAGTCGTAGGTGTAGCTTCGCCAGTGCGTAGATCACAACCACTATGTAGCGTTGTTGTGATAACACCCAAAAAATTCCATTGTACCACGGTAAAAATGTTATATATACCTAAGATTTTCTTGAAAAGTATTTATGAGCATGTGATTGTCAAACTGTACTTACCCTGCTGGTAAGGGGCATATTTCTAGTCTGTGACCAACTCAGCGAATGACTTCCTCCTTCATTTGATTCAAAAATTGTCTTCTGTTCTATCTGTATATGATAAACTTCTCATTAACGTACCGTAACATTTGGTTCTAATTAATATTGATGCAAAATGAGGCCTATTAACAAGAGTACGTAATACTTTTTAAATAGACAAAAATGACGCACTTGCTGACATATAAAGTGTGTTTTACGTATAATGATCGAATCCACCTTTAATAGAGAAAGTATTAGCAAATGTGATAGTTTTGTATGTCTCAAAAACTTTATTAAAGTTATAAATTCTGACCTGGATAGCTTCTTGAAGCTTTGAGTCATCGTGTATGTATTTGATCATCCAAGTTAAGAGACTGGCTGTGGTGTCCTGAGCAGCAAACATTACTCCAATGATGTTGTCAACGATTTGATCGTGTGTTAGTGCTTCTCCCTTATCATCTTTGAAGTACAATAGGTTGCCCAATAGATCTTTACGCACCAAACTCTTTTCTTTTCTCTCTTTTATTATCTCACCGAGAATTAAGCTCAGTCTCCTCCTTGCCTTCACAAATGAATTTAGATTCCCATGCAGTCGCACAAAGATATTGTACAAGAATTGAACATTAAAAAACACGAGAGTAAATTAGTTTGATTAGTACCTTCTGATCGAACTGATCACGGTAAGTAAATTGATAATCATTGGCACATTATTATGCTTACCAAAACCGATTTATTGTACAAGGTGCCTGGGAGTTTTGTAGGGAAAGAATTGTAGCCTTTGTCTAGAGTGTAGTAGTTTTTCTTGAGCATCTCTTTGTATTGATTGTTCAAGTGACCAAAGATAAACAAGACAGCAACATCGAAGGTGAACTGCATGCCATGATTATGAAGATGATCAGTAACTAAATACCTAGAGATATTGAAGAGTCCAATTAGTTTAAGCATCATCGAGTAATACTTATAACCCAGTAATTAAAAAAGTTTAAAAATTCGTAGTCAGAATAAGTATTTATAACTACACATTAAAAAAAAAAAAAAGATAAGTTACACGGCATGATTGAATTAGTAATACCACGGGCCACTACCCTAAAAAATCTCTTTTAGTAAACAAAAGCTTGTTGGTTTGGGGGTTCTAAAATTAGTTTAAAAGAACCGAAAAGAGAATTGTTTATAAACTGTTGTAGGGAAAAAAAACCGACTGTTTTATATGTAAACTAAAACTTTGACTGTACGAGGGGATAGTTTATCGTTGCACATGCATAAATGTAACTTATGCAAGCATGTTAAATTTTATGAAAAGTTATGCCATTTTAAAGTTGATTTTACAGACACAAAAGTACACACACACACACACACACACACATATATTCCAAACAATTAAGTGAATTACTAAAAAAATTAAAATATACATACATATTTATAAATAAAATGATAAACCTTGACCAACCTTCTTTAACTCATAAAAGGTGTTAACAACTTTTCCAGACCACGAGTCTAAGGTAGAAATGGCAACGGCTTCAATATCTGGCACCGAGTTTCTGATAACATCCAAGGACAAAGATCCTTGGACTAATCTTCTAATCTGTGCATGGTAGTCATCTTGATGGAAGAAAAGTGCTGAGGGACCAATTAATCTTTCTTTACTTTGAGGGTATGTAGGTTTAAACAAGTGTGCCTGAGTCACCAGCACAAACCGCACAGCCTCTGGGCTAGACAGCATCACACAAGGACTGCCAAGTATGTGAGTCTTGAAAACTTCTCCGTACCTAACATTAATTAACATAAATTTAATTAAAATAATTAAGTTCATCCAGTCTTGATAAGCATATGCAGTGGATTTAATTACTTACGTGTTGTGCCTAGAGGAAAAAAAGACATTAGGGTTTTGAGAGTATAGTTGCATGGTTTCACCTACATAGGGCCATCCCATTGAACCTGGAGGTAGATTTGCTCTAGGTTTCCGTGATCTCACTTGTTTTGCAAGTAATAAGATGAATGGAAAAAGAGCAATAAGAAGAAAATTGTAAAGAGGAAAAACAATATACATATTGCTCTCTTTGATCGATATAGCTAAGGGCAGTATATGATTAAGGACATTGTGTCCAATGAATATGGCTATGCTTATTTATATAGGAGTTGTAGGCAGGTAGCGACAATTTGTGAGTTATTCGACTATTCTCTGCCACCCGATTTCAGTGGACAGTGGCTACCCTGCCAGGCCAATGTCTGATTGCCCGACCTGGTTGCACAACTTTTCAGTGTCCAAACCAACCCACAATTTTACGTCTCAAAACGGTTGTCAATGCTACACTCGTCAATATTTACCAAAACAAAAAACAACAAACTTTAGAGTTGTTAATTACCATTTATTTTTTTAAAGGTAATAAGTATTTCATTAATTGAATAAATGAGTAACATATTTAACTAAGCAAAAGATAACACTCACAAGGACAAAACCTTGCATCACTTTCTAATGAACTTACAAAAGAAGATCTGCTATGAGTCATTACAAAGATATTCTTATAGTCCTTTGTTAGACGAACAGACAATGAAAGCACAAACCAATTAAAAATAAAAAATAAAAATATGACACAAGACAAAATAAACTCTTCATAGGTACGACTCCTATTTCAATGATAGGAGACCAGCACCTAACCAATATGAAAGATAAGTTCACAAAGCCTAAACCCTACGAGTTAGACGTAATACCGTCAAGAAACACAAGATAAACATCGTACCATCACCTGAAGACTTTGCAACAAGAAGAAAACATGATTGTGAATCTCTCGAACCACTACAACGACCTAAAGACCGCACCACCCTTTGATGATCTTGCAATCGTTGGCAAATCTCTACTATGAGTCACCTCTAACAAACATTGAGCTTCATCCGCATAATCCTTGCCAAGCGCACAAATCATAAAACCACCACCTCAGACTTGAACAACAATTGTCACTTAAGATCTGGTTAAGCAGTAGGTAATGTTTAAAATATCGATTGGAAATGTGAATATGCAAATTTATGGAAATATTGATGGATATACTGATACCCATATTGGTTGCCTTCGATGAAAATTTACAATGGTTGGGTATATCAACTCATTCAGATTTAGTCAAAATTAGAGAAAATTTCTCAAAAAAAAAAAAAATTCAAAAGTTTGAAATCTACAATAGGTTTTGGCAAAATTTACATAATGAATTGGTAAATATTATCAATATAGGGTGAAGTTTACATTTCACCCCTTTTTCCATATCGATCCCTAGTTTTTAAGATATTTCAATAAAAATTTCGTGGATATGTTAAACATTGGCAGTAGGTCATAACAGCTAGAAAAGCTTTCCTCCTCATAAAGAGAGAGAGAGAGAGGGAGCACTACTAAAAGAAAAGAGAATAACCGGATCAAGAAGGATTAACGCCGACGCAAGACAAAGGCTGGAATTGGGGGCGGTAGATGTTTCTTTAATATATTTTTTTCAATAAGTACTTTATCTCAAGTCACTACCGATGATACTTTTTTTCCCACTCATATTTTTGGTCCAACGGTATTAGATTTTGAATCAGGCAGAGACTTAGCCAAAAAAATTCTGGTGAGATGAGGCTAATGAGCCATAAAAAGTAGAAATAGTTAAATGAAGAAGCCACAGTATATTGAAGAGAACAACGTAGATTCTTGAAATTTTGAGCAACAAAATACTTTCTTCCTTATAACAAAATATTAAATATTGACTGTACTTAATTTTTATTTCTTTTTTGCTACATTTATATCCATGTTACGTACTTATCTTGTTAAATCGAGAATCTTGGTTACATTATGTATAATACGCATGAAAATTTTAATGTCCGAATTACGCATCAGTTGTCTTTTTTACATAAATTTCAATGAGTTAGATTGTTAAACTGACTAACATGACGATGCAGCTTCAAAAATTTAATGTCCGGGCGACCTTAGTTGTCTTATTCAAACCAAGTGTTCACTCATTGTTAACCAGTTAAAATGAGTATTGTTTTAATTAACTTGATTCTAATCACATACTTATCTTGTCATATTACAAATCTGGATGAGATGTCACGACATGCATAAAAAATTTAATATCTGGATCGTTTAAGTCTTGGTTATCTCGTTCACATTGAATGAATTTACTATTGACCAGTTAAAACATGGGTTGAATTTTTGTTAACCCACGAAATTTGAAAGTGACACAGTAAAGAATACAAATTAGTTTTCTTTCTTCATTTCTTAGACTCTTAATTATCTAGACATTTCTCAACACACTATATTCTAGACTTAAAGAAAGGGGAATAGAGAATACACAACCTCTTCCTCCGCTAAATGATATAAAGCTACTTGTAAAAAAATTTGGAAATTGATAACCCTACACCACAAAAATGACAGCAAATTTTTAGTCACAGAGTGAACAAGAAAACGATATTCATTTTATACACACACGCACACACGCACATCAATTAGCGAGCACTTAAAAAAGGTCTGTTCAACATTAGATCGATCGAGCCAAAGCACTGAAACTCTTTGTTCCACCCAAAATTATCTGCGGTTTCGTATATGTTGTTATCCAACTTGTTTAAGAATCATTACTACACTAGCTATCAACAAAAGCGTCCGTACAGTTCCATGAAAACAACAGAAGTCGAAGAAATACATACGTAAAAAACTCACTTCCATCCACAACAAGTGGACGTTTGTAAAAAATCAATTCAGAGAAAATAGTTTGGCAACACGTGATGAAATATCTATACATAACATTATTTTTTTTCCTTTTTTTTTTGGCCAATCAGATGTAATTAGTGTCATTTTAATTTGCTTAAAATATCGATGTTTATTAATCATGAAAAAAAATAGCACTATAAATATCAATTTCGTTTGTCTAAAGGCAGTTCCATGCAGCATACGTTGGCCGCCCGTTGCAGATTAGACAATCTAGCGGTCTCCGACAAGTCTCATCGGACGGTGACCATGGCATCTACCAAACCACATGGGGCCTTAAGTCGGTGATGCGGACGTGGAAAGTACTAGAATGTGGGGGCTACTCGAGCTGGACGGTCCCTGATAAACTCGAGATGTCAATCTCTACGGTTTATGGTAGTGCTAGAAAACTCGAAGGTGTTCTAGCAAGGAGGGTTGGTACCGCAGTGAATTTACCACCTCACATGTATAAGGTTTTACAGTAGGTCAAAGTATGAACAAAAGAAATACTTCCATAAAAGCTGAGATGAGAAACTTTGGTTCATGTCGTGCGAGATATAAACCATCGTGTTCATGCAACATTCATTACGTAATCTATTTGATGTTAAAAATATCATTCACACACGGAGGTCTTGCGCAAGATAAACCATGTCTCTCACCTCATCATTGTTATCAAAGCTTGAAGGAACCCAAAAAGTTTATGAGATTTTTGTCGTGTTTGCTACATAACAAGTTTTACGAGTTATGAACTTATACTTTGCTACGTAACAAATTTGAAACTTCATGATAATAAAGTGTCAATGTTTAATGGACTTTGGGTAAAGTGATAAAAAATTAAATTTCAATTGTTGAACTAATTAAGATTAATTATTGATGACATATAAATCATATATTAAGATATCAACCAAATATCAACGATACAGAGTAATGAGAAATAGTTGTCATACTAAAAACTTTAACAGTCATGGGCTGAAATTAGGTCATTTTAGCCTAAAAAAAATCAAAAATCAAAAGGCTTGAACCAAAGTATATGCAAAATATAATTTACCGGAGATTTTATTTATATTTATTAGATCATATCAAAACATAAAATAAATTTGTCTTTTTTTCCTCCGGTTATTCTCCAAATAGCCAAATGATCATGTTGCGATTATCCCTTGAACAAAGGGATACTCCATATAATGTTTCTCCACACAATATTCGTTTTAATTTTTTTTTAAACAAACGATATATAGTGTGACAATATTCGTTTTGAATTCGATTAGTTTATTCCATCAAACATTACTAGTACTCATAATTGACTTGCCTTATCCATAAAGTTGATTTGAAATTGACTTGCCTTACTTATCCTCAACTTTTGTACAATTATTTATCATCTGTTGCAGTGACCAGATTAGCACACATTCCATCAATAAGCATACCCCATAAACTTCTCTAATGGCACCCAACACTCTATCTGCAGCATCAGCCCCAAATAGTCTTTGAAAATTGGTCCCCAAATCAATCTCAATAGTCTTCCTCTTGATCAAATCATCCCTCTTCTTCAAATAATCCCTCTCATCCTCTCCCACTTCTCTCTTCCCACAAACACATTGATCCAACCAGATTCCCAGCACCTCCTTTACAATGGGACTTGTTGGAATGTAAGTGTTTGTGCTAGAGATGTATTTGATTAAGTCTTAGTTTTCCAGTTTTAATGTCACTACACGAAAACATGGATTAAGTGACCAATTTTTTTGTGGCGCGTGAAAAATCATCACATATAGGTAAAACAAGTGAGGCTTTTTTAAAAATCGTCACTTTAAGATTTTTGCAGGACACCAAAATATTTTGCGTCACTTATACTTTTGGATTCGCCACAAAAAAGTGGGCGGGAAAGTTTACCGCCAAACGAAACTTTAATTAGTGACGCAATGTTAAATTCATCACATAAGAAGAGGGAAGGCCACCTAGCCATTCCTCACATATAATATTGAATTAAAAATAAAAAATATAGATGCAATTATCAAAACCCCCAAATAACAAAACCTATCCATTTATTCTCATTTCTTCCCAGTCTTCAGCACCCTTTCGTCTACTCCTTCACCCTAACTTTGACGACCGGCTACTTGGTGGTTGCCAGCGACGGCGACTACCACCTCTCCTTCATCTCCCTCCCTCAGCCATTCTCCCACCCCTTGATTCTCGTTCACTAACTCTCTTATCTCTTTGACATAACAAGATCAAATTGGGGAAAGAGAAGTTTTATTTTTTCTCAAGTTCTTTCAGTTGACAACAAGGTACTTTGTTTCTCTATGTTTCTTTAATTGTTTTTGGATTTTTTTTTCTTTAATTGTTCCCCAGATTCTGATTTTCTTTCGGTAAAGATCCTATTGTTGGT